AGCATGGGGGAAGCTGCCCCCATGGTTAATCACTTCCCATCAGGTCCCTCCCTTGACATGTGGGGATTACAATTCGGATTACAGTTCAGGATGAGATTTGGGTGGGGACATGGCCAAACCATATCATTTGTTGAAGGAATTTTTCTTCTCTAATATTGTGCCTTTTTAATATAGTATTTGCGTTTCTCACAGATTCATCTCTGCTGAAATTTCCTATCTATTTAGGTGTCTTGGCCACCTTTTTCTCTAGGTTCTTTAACATACTATATATAGTTATTTCAAAGTCTATGTTTGATAGGTGAAATTTGGGGACTATCGTCGAGTCTTTTTCTGATCATTCCTTTGTTATTTAAAAGTGGGTAATTTTTTTTTCTTTTATGTGTGTCTTCTCATTATTTATTATATGTCAGTCATCTTGTATAAAACAATAGAGGCTGAGATAAATAGTACTTAGGTTATCGTTATGAAAGATTGAGTCAGTTTGATCAGGAGCTAAGCTGGGCCTTTGTTTTATTATTGCCAGGTCAATGCACCATATCTTTCAAATTCCTCTAGCTGGGCAGCTGTTGCCTTCTGATTTTGCGTCGGCACAGGGGCCTAGATTAGCTGGAGAGTTTTCTGAAGTGTTAGTGCCCTACCCTCAGCGTTTGGTCATCCCTGTATAATGAAGCCACACTGTGGTTCCCTCTCTCCATCTTAGTAGTTGTGTGACTCAGGACAAGTTTCATAGCCTCTTTGTACCTCAGTTTCCCCATCTAAATTGAGGATACAGCTAGTACCTACCTGAAAGGCTTATCATGAGGATGAGAATTAATATATGTAAAGCACTTAGAACAGTGCCTGGTGCATAGAAAGCATAATATACATGTTTGCTATTATCATTGTTTTCTATAAGATAAGAATTTTGTTATAAAGTGTCACAAACAGATGCTGATGATCTGAAGCAAACCAAAAATGGGAAGGCAAGGGACTAGAAAATAAACGTTAAAGAGATTATTCAACCATAGACCTTTGCCAGGGAGAGAAAGGCAGAGGGATAAACCGCTATGCGTCCTGGAGTAGGAGGCTGTGGGTACATTTAATCAGATCCCTGTTTCTAGTCACAGACAGAAATGCACTTGAGTACTTGATACCAGAGCTAAGTCCATGGGTCAGAGGCAGAAGGGAGGGCGAAAAGGGGGTAAGCAAGAGAACTGAACCGAAGAGCACAAGCTCACTTCCATAGTTCTTCTGTTCTTACCAGAACACTTATTATTTGGAGTCAGATTCACTAATGAATTCATTTTCCAAGTTTAGCTGTGTGAATTTCAGCAAATTATTTAGCCTCTTTGAAGCTAGTTTTTTATAAAATGAAGACGATGATAATGAGACTTCTTAAGGTTGTTAAATTAAAGGAAATAATCCATGTAAAGTGATTAGCTCAGTGCCATCAATACAGAAAGTGACCTGGATGATGATTATCATCATCCTCATAAGTTGGTATGTAGATTTCCAAACACCTGAACCCTGACCTGACACAGCCGCTGCTTCTCTACTTCTCATTCCTCGGGCATCTGAAGGAAGTAAGTGCACAGAGACCAAAACTAAACCAATGCGCATACTTTCTCTGTCACTGGGAAGCTTTTGCCTTCTTGTTGTAAGCCTCAGCTGAGCTAGACCAACCTGTCTGGAGAACTAGATAATGGAGCTAAATTTGATCTTTTACTCAGCTATACACCAACATAGCTCTCCTTTGCCAAGACAGAGACTGTAAAAGCAAGCTAAGAAAAGCAAGTGTTTTTGTTCCTAAGGCTTAGAGCTAAATGTGCTTAACTCACCCTTCTGAGATTTTCTTAGAGTGGGACCTTGAAGTGAATGAGAAAGAGGCAGTTTTCAAGGTGGGAACAGGATGACAAACAGTTCAGAAGGAATTCTTGCAGTAATCCCTGATGGCGGCTTAGGTCAAGGTGGAGGTGGTGAGAAGTGGTCAGATTTGGATATATTTTGAATAAGAAGCCTACATAATTTGCTGATGGATCATCATGTGTGACATGTGAGAGAAAGGAGGAATTAAGGATGACTCCAAGGCTTGTGACCTGAGAAGCTGAAAGGATTTTCATTTACTTGGTCAACCTTGCAGTCTTGTTACCTACAAGGATCTAGCATTGGCCGGAGCTGACTTTTCAATGAAGATAAGTTGTATAAAAATATCTGTGTTTATTTCCCTCAATAACGATTCTCAGTGTAGAAGGCTTATAAATCTTTTGTTAGATTTACCCTTAGGTGTTTGATGTTTTTTAATGTTGTTATAAATTTTCTTTTATGTTTGTTTGCTGCTGTAAACCGATAAAATAATTTATCCTTGCTTACTGACTATACTCAACAACATTGCTAAGTTCCTCTATAAAATTGTAAAGATTTTCTGTGTACATAATTCTGTCATCTGCTAATAACTACAGTTTTATTTCTAATCTTTTTATACTCCTCTTCTTTTTCCTTCTTTGTTGCACAAACTAGGACCTCCGTAAGGTGTTAAATAGAAGTGTTAATTGTAGGTATCAACACTCATTTTTATTCTCAGGGGATGTTTGCTGTATTTTATTCTTAAGTAGGATGTTTGCTGTGACTCTCTTAAAAGTGTTCTTTATAAGATTGAATAAAATGCCTTCTGATCCTAGTTTGCTAAGAGTTTTTATCATGAATGGAAGCTTTTTAGAGATGTTGAAAGGCTTTATTGTTATGCATGGCTTCAGAGTTCTCAGCCCTATCAGATCCCAAATCCCCTCCTATAATAAATTTTATGAAATGCCTCCTTTACCATATCTAAAGTGAAATTCATAGGTAATGGAATCCACCTGTGCTGTGTGTGTGTGTATGTATATATATAATATAAAGAAGAAATAAGTATAATTTATAATAAAATAGTATAATCATTATGTAAATGATCTGGCGTGACTATATTATCATACAATATATTACCCATCAAATATCCAAAGCATTTTTTAGAGTGGGCATCCACTCCCATTCAGCATCAGTGTTTGAAAGGATAATAGCACAGGTTTACATCTATAGCAGACTTCTTTAATTAGAGATGAATCGTTAGTACTATTAGGGAATACCAACCATCATTAGGATAGTTTTAGGGCTTATATGTATAATGACAAAATAAAGGACCTTTTTTCTTTTTTGTGGCTTCTAAGGGAAAGTTTACCCATTAAACAAATACCTACTGAGCATTTGCCTTGTGCCAGGCACTATTCTATGTGCTGCTAATAAATTGCCAATAAAACAAAGCTACCGGCCACTTAGACCTTATGGTCAGTAGAGGGGGAAGGCAGTAAATTAATAAATATGTAACATGTAAGAGTGATAAATGCTACAGTGAAAAATAGGCAAGGTAAGGAGCTAAGCATGGGGGTGTGCGTGTGTGTGTGTGTGTGTGTGTGTGTGTGTGGTATTAGGAGGAGCAGGGAAGAAGCTTGAGCAGACATCTGAATGAATATTCATATCTAGAGGTAAGCTTTCTAGGAAGAGGAAAGAGGGAGCATACTGGGTATAAAAGTTGAAAGACAGCAAATTGTTCAGCACCTAACATGATGCCTGGCACCATGTTAGGTACTTTGCTTACATTGCTTTATTCATTCCGGTAATCTTATGTAGAGAGTGATGATGTGCTTATTTTACAAATAAGGAAATTGTGGCACACACATTACATAGTGATGCATTTACGATTCAAATCCAGACCCACCTGGCTCCAAAGCTAAGGAAGGTGAAGGAATGCTTTCAGGAGCCCTCTTCTTTTAGTGGTCTGTCACATTACCATAAGAGTAACTTTATTTCATTCAGAGAAATGAAAGAACTGGGTAGAGGACTTGAAAACAATCATTTACATTTTTTCATGTAGCATTTTAAAAATATTTGAACCAATAAAGGCTTTGAAATACCATGAATGGAAAACATTCCAAAATAAGTTAGAATGAATAAGATTATTCATTTTTGTAAGCTTTCTATGTTTTTGTTTGTATTACCTACTAAACTTTGTTTTGTTTGGTCATTTCCATAGTTGATGATACCATTGACTATGCAGGAACATAAGACTCAATCATTTTCATTGTTTAATACTAAAAAGTTTATTGTCTTAGATTTATGGTAGATTTAATAGAACTAAGCAATTATAAACTGAGTGCTTTCTTAGGTACCAAATATCTGTTGGTAATATGGGCATTGTTAATACTCACTGTAAAATTAACAACCTTCTTAAGTGGAAGAGATTGTGTTATACTTTTTACCCTCTTTGGTGTCTGTTGAAGGGCTGTTCAGTTTGTAAATGTATTTATATTTTCCTAGTACAAATACTATAAAATTAAGGTCCAGATTCACTAAATAATGATTCTGGCTAACATTTGAGTGACGTTACCTCCAAGCATTACTCTAAGTGCATCACATGCTTTGAGCCTTTTATTTGAATGTTAGTATAATCTAAAATAACAGAATATTTTATTAGCTTAGATTTCTTGTTCATTTTAGTAGTCCCAGGTTATGGCTCTAGAATAACTGAAACGTTATGGCATGCTAAAAATTAATTATGGAAAGTTTTTGATCTAGTTTAAGATGATTAAGCAGAGACAGTCCCCAGAATATGTGCATGCCAGTGTCACTTTTAATATAGTTTGTTTCATGTAAAATAAGAAATCAGATGTTTAAAAACATTGTTAATGCTCACTATAAAATTAACAAACTGCTGAGGCAGAGTTCAGATGCAGAGATGCAGAGGACGTATTGCTAGTAAGAATACTTTAGATTCCTGTGAAATTGTTGCAGGTAAAATGGGAAATCTTGAAAAGTAAACCTTTCACAAGAAAACAAAATTTTTAAAGATAACTTGAAACATTGCAAATATTTTTATTTATCAGATGATTCATAAGCGTATTGTTATCTTCCATAAATGAACATTTTAAAACCATTGGAGTGTTTGTATTAACCAAATATGTATATAATAATTATGATTTATTTTTATAAAGGTTCAGAGGTCCAAAGAAATAACATTCTATGGATAGCCATGGCAGGGACTCATCAGATATGGGCACTCCTACTGGATTCTGGAAAACTGCCTAAGAAAAAGTAAGTGACAGCCTCTTTTTTCGAGTAGACTGTACTGCTTGGCATTCATAGAATTTCTTTTTTCAAAATCATCACCCTCACTGTACCAGTCAGAATGTGCTAGGTTAAATTGCCGTAGCATACAACGCAGATTCTCAGTGGCTTAAAATGAGGTGTGTTTCTTGCTTATTCGCATGGGTTCACTGGGGAGTACTACTCTGCCACCCAGGCTGATGAAACAGCCACTGTCGGGAGCTTTGCCAATCATCCTAGCACAGTAAGAGAGAAAGAGGTGGTAAGTCACTCACTGAGTCTTAAAATTTCTACTCAGAAGTGACATATGTCGCTTTTACTTACATTTTATCAGCCAGAGTAAGTCTCATGGCCACACTTCACTTCAGGAAACCTGCAAAGAACCATTCTTTTTAATGTCCAGAAAGAGAGCTAAGAATATTCGGTGGGCCTTATCTTTTAAGACATAGCTGAGCTGTCTCTAACCATTCATTCAAATAGTTGAATACCACATAGCAGAGTGCTTAATAACCCACTTTTTGTAGTCAGGCTTGGGATTGAATCCTGGCCCTGCCATTTATTATCTGTATGAGTTTAGGAGAGCCACTTTAACTTTCAAAGCCTCAGTTTCCTGATTTATATTAGCTCATAGCCTTGCTTTGAGGATTAATAATATGTGTGAAGAGCTTGGTATAGTGCCTAACATGTACAGTAAGCATAGGTAGCTTTGCTGTCATGAGGATATAAGGATGAAAGGGTAGTGTCTGCAAAGTTTCTCATATTTTTTCCTTGGAGCCTTTCCTCTTCCCCCTAAAACCCAAACAGAACTGGCCATACTCGTCTCTGTGACCTCACCGTACCGTACCTAGTATATAGTTACTTCACTGCACTAAGTTTTCCTGCCCTGCCTCACTGCCCCTTCCCTTTTCTCCCTCTTCTTTTTTAATTGTTCTTTTTAGCCATTTCCTTCCTTCTACTAAACTGTCACATAGAGGAAGGGACCCTCTCCCATTCATTTTTATATCCCTTGTATCTATCACAGTATTTGGTACCTAAGAGAAGCTCAGTAAGGGTTTGAGAATAAATGAGTAAAAGCCATTAACCAGAAAGGCTGTCAAATAGCCGTGGAAAATGATCATTTCAAGTTACCTTTATTAATAGAAAGCAGCATTTGTATAGATACTTCAAAATAGCAGATATTCCAAATAGTGTGTATGTTTGTGCATGTTGCTTTGGACACATTTATATAATGTGTTAAGACATTTAATCATTTATCTAGCAAATATTTATGAAACCTACTATGTGCTAGGCAACAGGGATGAAATAATATGCTCACTATGTTAAGGATAAAATGAAAAGGTGTGGTTGCTATCATCAGTGGACTTAGAGAGGAAAAATCAGATCAGCAAAAAAAAATTAAAAATTAGAGTATGCAAAAGGAAGCGCTGCAAATTGTAATTGTTCCCTGTATAAGTAAGAGGAAGACCCAACATCAATAAGATTTGAGTTGTCAAGGAGGGCTTCTTGGAAGAGGTAACTAAACAGACACCTAATAGAGTGGTAGAAGTTAGAGGGGGAGAGTGGGAAGTTTTCCAGGCAAACGTTGGCACTAGTGATGTCAGTAGAAGCCAGATCACACCGTGCCTTGTGAGTACTTTTAAGGGATTTGGATATTCTACAAGCCTTTTTAGAAAGGTTTAAGCTGGGAAGTGACAGGATTAGATTTGTGGTTTTGAAAGAACACTGGCAGTACTCAGAGTAGAACAAGACTAGAGACAGAGATACCATTGAGGAGCCTATTACTATTATCCAGGCAAGAAATGATAGTAGCCTGAACAGTGAGGTTACCAATAAGATTTTACACGAAGCATAACTACCAACAGCAAACAGAAGGAACAGAAGTTGCCAGAGTGTGCTGTTCTGGGTGATGGCTGTTTTAGACATAGATGATCAAGAGCTGCCTACATTTCCTCCTAAGTCGAGTTGTCACTCTCCTTTGTAATAGGAAATTGGCACTAGGATCGTGTTGACCTGTATTTTAATTTTAAAGATGTATTATCTTTATTACTAATCTTCAGGTAGTAATAATAGCATTTTAAAAGTTATTGTTTCTCCCCACTCTTTCCTTTATTTAATTAATGAGTCTCGTTTTTAAAGTAGTAAGACTACTTGTAGACTCCTTTCAATTAATTTGTTTTGCGTATTACTTATTGCATGTATTTTACTGGCTAGTTTATGTTTATGTTTCTTGACTAAGTGGCCATATTTTATGCATCCTAAATCCCTTTGCCTCTGTCCCCTGCTCCCTACCTAACTTATCATGGGAACATATCAGCCAGAAAGTGATCATTAGTTCAGACTTTTGCGTGTTGTACCATATTCAGAAATGATTTACACATACTCTCATTTTGTGTCATAAGTCATCTGCTTCCCTTCCCTCAGCACAACACAGTATCATGCCTTCCTTACAATCCCTCTGTTGTAAACTTAGAAACCAGGGTCTAAAACTTTCTCTGCGTTATAAAGGAATCACTGCAATAGTTCTTCAAATAGTAATTTCCCTAATGTATATAAGAAATTGATTTCTGTAATTGATTTAATTGTACATAATTATACCTGTAATTGTGAGATAATTATGTACATTTTTATAATTCTTCTTATAATAGTAATGTCTGACCTGGCTATCAAAAACTATTCTTTAGTTCCTTTTGCTAGTCTCTGTTTATATACAAGAACATAAAACAGTTTCAATGAAAACTGAAGCTTGAAACTATCAAGAGCTAGATAATCTTTTTAGTTCCCTTTCAGAACCTAATATTGCATGAAACTAAGAAGTTAAGAACTTACAGTGGTAAAAACAGTCTATCTCATCAATAATCTGATCATTATTTTTATCTTGTTATTCTAACTCTGTCAGGGATTTCTCGTTTGACCTTTGAAAGTGATTTCAGTTTTGTATATGTCAAAGTAAAGTAAAAAGTTTCCCACACAATGGGTAAATAAGTTAATGATTGGCAAAATGACAGTAAAAGCTGACTTGAACAATTTAACTAGGCCAAGATCACCAGTTTGTTTTTTTATAAGGCTTTTCACTATTGATTCGATCATTTAAGCTCATTTATTTAATAACTAATTTGAACACAATATACCACATGTTGACCCCACCTATGAACTTGTCTTTTTCAGCGAGTTAACAAAAGGAACCTGCCTTAGTTTTGCTGGAAGTGGAAATGAAGAGAATCGAAACAATGCCTATCCTCACAAGGCAGCTTTTGCTCAACCTTCAGGCCTTTCCCTGGCCTCTGAAGATCCCTGGAGCTGCCTGTTTGTAGCAGATAGTGAGAGCAGTACAGTGAGAACCATTTCGCTGAAAGATGGAGCAGTGAAGCACCTCGTGGGAGGAGAAAGAGACCCCATGGTAATGACAGTCACTCTTGCCCAGTGCGCTCAGACACTGAACAAGCTGTCAATTTTGTGAATTACAGAAAGTTAATAAGATTTAAGAGAAATTATCCTTGGCCTATCTGTGAATTAAAATGAAAGTCAAACCAAAGGAAATGTGAATATAAAGCGACGTGAGGAACACACCATCTAAGAGAAGTAAACTGACTCTGTTATGTATAAATGTTAAGGTTTCAGGGAGAAAGAAAAGATGAAGTATTGATTATTGGAGAAAAGAAAAAAATGTAAATTACATATTGGGCAGTGGGGTGGAAAGAGCACCAGACTAGTGGACTTGGCCTGTTCCTGACCAGATGTATTATTGTGAGTAAAACTACTAAGCACCACAGATTAATACAGGTTCAAAATACTGTCGTTTTTTTCTAATCTGAATCAAGTATCCAACCCTATTTATATTAAAATCAGCATTTTCCCTTTTAACTTGAATATCATTTATAACCAGCTGAATTTTCACTTTGTATCCTAACAAAATACTGTAAAAATTATAATAACTGCTGTTTCTTTCCTTTTAAAAAATTAAAGAATTTATTTGCTTTTGGTGACATCGATGGAGTAGGAATCAATGCAAAGCTTCAACACCCCCTTGGAGTAACGTGGGACAAGAAAAGAAATTTACTTTATGTGGCAGACTCCTACAATCACAAGGTGAGTCGTGACAGAATTATATAATATCTTGCTTTTTGTATGTGGCATTTAAAATGCTGAAAGATCTGTGAGCCTCCTACAAGTGTCACTCTAAAATATAGAAAGGAGTAACAGTCTTTGACAACTATATCCCAGCTTGTTCTGTTCTTTTCTTGGTCCTTTCTTTGCCACGAGGTTGTGATGGTATTCTGAACTAGGAAAAGCACTAAACCAGTTCCAATGGCAATGGCCAACAGCTGTGAATTGCAGCCCATCAAAGCTGCTTAGTAACATATTCAGTATATCAGGATAAGGCAAGTAGCAGGGAAATTAATATGTCAAGTAACAAATCAACGCTTTTGAGATGTTGCATAGTTACAATGCCTGTTTTTAGCAGCACTTCCATTTTTGTCTATTAAATTGTTTTGTTTTATTGCATTTTTACTTTTTACAGAAATCAGTGGATAATAAATATTCATAGAGTACTTCATCATGTGAGACCATAAATTTAATATAATTGAGCCATAACTGGCAATCATTAAGTTTAACAAAAGTAGCAAATCTTCTAATGCTAGATGCTTAAGAAGACAGAGTCAGTTCAGTTTCGAAAGTGTGTCCCATTTTGAAGAAAAACAATTCAATTAAAAATTTTTTTTAATTCCAGAAATAATTTCCTCAAAGATTGCTTCTAGAAGGCAAGATGTAGATAGAAATTTTATATAGTTTTTAGTTCTTAGAATAGAATATCTCCCCTTAGACTGTAATTTGAATGTTTGGCTTTTCAAGAAAATATGGAAATACCTGTTCCTTTTGTGAGATTTCTTGAGAATATAAATGGCAATCAGAAATTATCTAGCTTGCTTGATACTATATCCTTCCATACTACAAACATGAGATTGATCTTCAGATACATAAATTTTTGTTCTTTCTTTTTTAGATTAAAGTCGTGGATCCAAAAACAAAAAACTGTACAACATTAGCAGGGACTGGAGACACACATAATGTTACCAGTTCCAGTTTTACCGAGTCAACTTTTAATGAACCAGGAGGCTTGTGTATTGGAGAGAATGGACAATTACTGTATGTAGCAGACACCAATAATCATCAAATTAAAGTGATGGATTTAGAAACAAAAATGGTATCTGTGGTAAGTAATTTTAGAATATAAGTTAAAGGATGTCATTTTAAGAATGATTCTTAGATCCTTACAGCACTGACAGAGGCATTTTTGGTTAGGCTATCTCCAGGAGAGTAGTAAGTGGATGCTTCTGTTGTGTTTTTTGACAAAGAGACCAGCAGAACTGCTTTAAGGATATCCTCCTAATCTTCAAATAAAAGTTCCATCTGTGCTGAGAGTTTGAGAAAAATACTGGAAATTGGAGAGAATCTGATGAACCTCCAAGAAAAAAAAAGGAGAGGACTCAGATCTGTTTTTAAGTGTACAGGCGTACTGACACATACTACCTACCCCTGCTCTGTGGGTTAGGTTATTTAGCATTTTTGTTTTTGTTTTTTTTTTTTTTCAGTGATCTTTAGATTGATGTGTAATCTTTGTTTCCTTATGATGAGTCCATTACCAAATATCTTCTAACAAAAGCTTTAGAAACCACATTTCTCACCACATTGAAAATAAGATTGTGGGAGAAACTTCAGTGAGTTGTAGTCAACTTTTAAAGATATGAACATGGTATAGAATTTTCAAGGAGAAATATGTATTATAAACTAATTCTTGGTGTATGACATTTACCTGAAAAAAATGTAACAGTTTTTTCCTGAAAGTCTGGTAATTTGCACAGTATATTTTTAAAATAAAAAACACAGGGCTGGGTGTGGTAGCTCATGCCTGTAATCCCAGCACTTTGGGAGGCCAAGGCGGGCCTGAGGTCATGTCAGGAGTTCAAAACCAGCCTGGTTAACATGGTGAAACCCCATTTCTACTAAAAATACAAAAAATTAGCTAGGCGTGGTGGTGTGTGCCTGTAATCCCACTACTCAGGAGGCTCAGGCAAGAGAATCGCTTAAACCTGGGAGGCGGAGATTGCAGTGAGCCAAGATCACACCATTGCACTCCAGCTTGGGCAACAAGAGCGAAACTCTGTCTTAAAGGAAAAAACAAAACAAAACCAAAAAAAACACAAAAAAACAGATTACACAGATTACTATTGCAATGTGTCATTTCTCTTCACACAGATCTCTGATATAAGATGAATAACATCTTCTTATAGTTGGCAATGAAAATTATAAGAGAATGTAGATCTGTGTTTAAATTTATAAGCTTTTCCTTTAATTTCCTGCCATCTATAAACAGTGGATGGTTACTTTAATTCTGCCTCATTCACAAGTGTTGGGTTTTGTTGTTGTTGTCTTTGCTAAGATAAACTTTTTCTGTATCTACAAAAATAATCTTGAGGGTATCTAACTAACACATTCTAATTCAACCTAGAATGGAAATTAGTTTCATTGATACAGAATTTCATTATTCTACTAAAGTCTTAAAGTATCCTCATTCTGTAATTACTATAAAGTTCTTACATTTTAATAACAGACTTTCTTATTTCCTAGCTTCCCATCTTCAGATCCGAAAATGTTGTGGTAGATGGCCCATTTCTAGTAGAAAAACAGAAGACATTACCCAAATTACCTAAATCTGCTCCAAACATTAGACTTTCCCCCGTGACTGTGTGTGCTGGCCAGACTCTTCAGTTCAAACTCAGATTAGACCTCCCGTCAGGATCAAAGCTAACTGAAGGGGTACCCAGTTGCTGGTTTCTAACAGCTGAAGGTATGAGTATAAGCTTGCAAATACTAATACATCATACGTTCTTGATGTTTAATCTAGTTATTTTTCATTTGTTAGGTGATATTTTCACTCTGTATGGGCAAGATTTGAAGGAATTAATATAAACACATGAATCCAGATCCAACCCCACATTGGCAGTTTGCTTTAGTCTTCAAGAGTCTTTCCTCCCTTTTATTAAAGAAGAGTGTAACTCCCTAAAAATTACAAGTCAGTTGTTAGCATGATTTCTTAGAATATGGGATTTCCTATACCTCATCCCCTATTCTGATCCTGTTTTTCATTCTATTCTTGTTCCAAAAAGAACCTTAGATTTTAAAAGTCTGAAATAGAGGCTGGCTGTGGTGGCTCACACTGGTAATCCCAGCACTTTGGGAGGCTGAGGTGGGTGGATCACCTGAAGTCAGGAGTTCAAGACCAGCCTGACCAACATGGTGAAACCCTGTCTCTAAAAATACAAAAAATTAGCCAGGTGTGGTGGTGGGCACTTGTAGTCCCAGGCGCGAGGCACAAAAATCACTTCAACCCTGGGAGGCGGAGGTTGCACTCCAACCTAGGTGACAAGAGCGAGACTCTATCTCAAAAAAAAAAAAAGTCTGAAATAGAGAAATGCAGTGGAACCTCTTTATTTAACATCTTTTTCTGTAACTCTTCCTTTCAGTCACTATTATGCATTCCTCCCTCTCTTTTATGTGTGAATCACAGTGTGAACCAGCTCCTCATTTCATTAATCTATGGTAATGAATTAGTATACTGCTTGCCTTTCAGTAGTGCTTTCCAACTTCTGTAACCTAGTGGACAAAAATTTTAAAGTGAAGTTTTAGTGGTTCAGAACTTCTGAATTACAGCTTGTCTCTAATGAGGTTCCTCTGTCCTAGTCTCCCACGCTCTTTCACTCTCTCACTCAATTTTCCATTTCCTCTCCTACTCCTCCTCCTTCATACCCTCTCACACACTTTTCTTTTGTACATTACCCAGATCCTAGGTAATTCACACCTTCTTACCTTCAACTTTCTCAGGGCAGCAACTGCTGACCTGCAATTATAATAATCAACTTAGTGTCTAAACCAAGAGGATAACAATATCTTGGTAGCCTAGCTGAGAGGAACTGCTGGTTAGTGTTTGGGAGGCTGGTTCTAGGGTGATTGAATCTGTAGGGAAACCATCTCCTTGTCACTCCCCACAAGGGAGAAGGCTGACCATGTATGGCTAGGACCTTTGGAGCTTACTTTATAGACAGAAGAATACTCAAACCCTGGCCAGTCCATCGCCTTCTGTAGGTTTGTGCAAGTCCTAGACTGCCAATTTAGGCCTGGAAATAGTACGTCAGCTGGAGATCGTTAATTCAATTTTTCTCGGTGTTACTGTAAGAGCAGTGTATTAAATGGTGTCATTGTAGGAGCCGTGTATTGATTTTTAAAATAGCATATTGACAGATTAACATGCTTATCTCTGTATTATCAGACACTAATCTTGAATCATTGGGATGTAAAATACAGGTTGTATTCAAATGAGGAAGTCTAGAGAAAATACTTAGCTGTTTTATCATTTGTCCAAGATATTGGCTGCATTTTTATTATATAGAAGCAGATAATTTTCAGGCAATAATACTAATAATTTGAAGTTTTTGAATATTACAGAGTATATTTGTACACTTATGTTTAAAGGACATTTTCTCTTTTGACTTGTTATTTAGAAACAAACATTTACTTTTAGCCAAATTTTGGTCTGTATAATCTTAAGGAAGTTAGGCCATATGCAAGTTTTAAGCCCCCAAAAAAAAAAAAAGACAGCATAAAAATACCACATGTATTGTAACTTCACAGATTGTGTGTGTGATATATGTAAAAAATAAAGAAACATTTTCTGTTTTATTTCTAGATTTGGACATTAAAATAGCTCAGTATTGTTTTCTTTTTTTGATTTAAAATATAAGAAGTTCTCTACTAATCTCTCTAGCAAAATCATACATTAGATAAAAGATACTCTCCAGTCCAGGAATAAGCAAAGGAAGCCAAATAATTTTAAAGATAATTTTAAAAGAATTGTTTAAAAGCTTCAGCATAAAAGTTTTGTAGTTATCTCTCTAGATTCTTATTTTTCACCTTCTTACCCTTATTTGACATATTTTTCTCAAATTTGATTTTTCAATAACCTAAAGCAATCAACTAAAAGAGACAGCAAGAGGACTGATAAAGGCAGGTACTCTGAGTTAGCTGACTCATCCTGAGAACAAAAGAAAGAGACAGAAAAGGTGAAAAGTAGACAGCATTTCATCGCATTCAGTGGATGGTCCAGTTTTTGTACAGATCCCCTGAGTCATTAGAACCAAATGTTCAGTGTTCTCCATTTACATGGCGGGAAAGCATTTCATATATTTCTCAAATGCTGGCTCTTGAAGGCTGCCACCCTCTTAGGCTGAATATATGTGTCTGTGCTTCCCCAGTATGACACATGTGTTCCTTCTAAGAGAAGGTTAGATGAATAAAGATATTTACAGATGATTTTAATTCTTGAGGACTTAAAATTTGTTAGTGGCTTATTCAATTTTTGTTATAGATAATCTGTATATTTATGTCGAGGAAGAGTTTTACATGTTAAAATGAGATATGCAGAATCTCTTGGTTTTTACATTGCTTGAGCCCACGAACGATAGATATGCAATGGTACCAGTTTCTAAAGAAATAAGTTTTTTTTTTTTTTTTTTTTTTTTTTTTTTTTTTTTTTTT